CACACACACACACACACTCAAGCAGAGCCCATCAGCCAGTGGCCTCAGGCATTATTTTGACATGAGAAAGTCACCCTGTCAGTTTATAAAGGGCACTTACTGTCCTCTCTTTCCTCCAACAGGCTATTAACCTTTTACTAATGCTGCCACTGTGAGTAAGTTTGCTCTCAGTTGAACAGCCTGGCTAAAACTAAATAAACTTATAGTGTAGTCTGTTCCCAACAAAAAAGGTATTTTGTCAAACTAGCCCCCCCACCCCTCTTGTCATTGACATGGAGAGCAGGCTCTCACATTGCACCCCACTGTTGCAATACTGAAACAAACCCCCTGTGTTTTGTCCTGTTGCTCTGTCTGCGTTGGTATTTTCCCCTGGTAATAATATCTTAGGCTGAAAATAGCTCCTGCTGTCAGGGGCCATGCCATGTGTGTCACAGCTGACAGCAGGGAGGGACGAGGTGAACTGTGGCACAAGTGGACCACATTCCTGGGCCTTGTCTTTCACTCTCTGTCTGTCTTTCTATTTATCTACTGCTGTCAGCCTGCCTGCCAGCATGTGGGGAGCTTGCTGTGGAGAAGGGAGGGCTGCTTAGCTAGCCAGCCGCAGAAGGAGACAAAGACAGACAGCGGGAAGACAAAGAGAGGAGAGGCAGTTTCAAGAAAGACTGAGATAAAGAGAAAGAGAGCAGCAGAAGTGTGTTGGAGCATAGTTAGGGTTAGACAGGTGTTTTTTGCTCTCCTTGAACCATGGTGAAGTGTCTGATCCGGATCAAGACCAAGGTGAACGTTCACTTGCGCATGATAAACCACTGCTATCGAGATGTGAAGGTGCGTGTACTGTCTTTGGGACCCAGGCTCTTGGGCAAGGCTCTGGGGGTCCTACCGCTCTTCCCCGCCCTCCCTGGGGCTTCTTCCACCTCATGCTCTGGTCCTGGGTCGGGAGAGAGCTCCAGGACCCCTTCCAGGCTAGCTGTCCCACCCCAACTCCATGGCTGCCGCCCACCAGCCAACCGTGCAGGTAAAAACTGGAGCTGGTTTTGTCATGCAGGATTAATGGAGTGCAGTGGCTGCTGTGTTTGAAGAGAGCGACTTTTAAACAATGAGGCAAATATTTCAGGGTGATGCAGTATGTTTCTCTAATGCCAAAACCCAAATGGATTTTACATGGAATTATCTCATTATATGTTGTTAAAGTCTAATGCAGTGGATATCTAGCTTCCAGAAAGAATTTCATTTGAACATAGTTTAAAGGACGGGAGCACAGAATCAATTTCTTGAGCAGAGGTCATGACAAGCTGACCATTAAAAACAAATCGTGTTTCCCTTCTGGTCACATCGGCGTAATTAACGTTGACACAGAGGACCATGTACTCGACTATTTTGGCAGCCCAGCAGGCAAGGCTCAAAATCAAAGAGGCTGAACATAATTTCCCCTTAAACCTTCTGTTTTAAGTGCTTAAAAAAATAGGGGCATGTTTGGTATAGTCACATTTGCAAAAATAATAATAAGCTTTTTCTTCCCTTCTTCAGTTTATAGAACAGAAAACAATAGAAAATACTGAAGCAATAAACTGTGATGAATTTTGATACGCACAGAAAGAAGCTAATTAGAATAAGGGCTGTGGTAAATTCATTCAAACATTAATACAGAGAAACATGGAATCGTAAGAATGTCTTCATCTGTGACATTTTAATTATCTATCAAATTGTGATATCTACAATATTTCCATTTCTACTCTTAATGTGTCTTTTTAAATGTAATTAAAATGTAAAATTTTTACTGTGCTCAAGAATAATGTATATTCTATTTGAATGATATGACAGACCCACAGAGTACGCATTTGACAGGCTCACATTGTCAGACTGGAAACCTGAAAGCAGAGAACAATACATACTAACACACGCACACACACACACAGAACAAATTACATTCTTCTAATGCGGTTTACTTCAGTTTATATTTCTTATCTGTGTGTGTGTTTTATATTAACTTGTTATAGTGTTTTAGATATTTGAAATAATAGCACACAAATAGTGCAATGCTATAGATAGGCCTACACTATTTCCTGGTACTGCACTGTAATGTACGTGTGAGAGTGGAGAGAATATGATTGAACAGATTTATTCCCAGTTGGCCCCCCTACAAAAAAAGTTGCTGTTAAGTTTAGATTGTGTTTATTGTTGTTCTTGTATTGTTTTTCTCATACATTACCAAATTCCGTTAGTAGTTCAGTTTACACAAAGAGAAAGAAAGAACAAGGCTTTCACCTTTTCCTACGGTCTAAGAAAGTCATTGCAACAATACCTCCAAGTTATTAAATACCTCTCTTATGAGCTGGCTTTCTCTGCTGTGTTCTCAGGTCTGGAGTCCCTACGAGACAGCGCCCACTCCACGCCTGTGCGCTCTGTCTCCCACGGCGACTCCTTCATGTCTTCTCGGGGCCAGATGGTGGACGGCAGCGAGGCGAGCACATCAGGAGTCATCTCAGACGAGGCCTACAGCCCCTCAGACAGCGTGCTGCCAACGCCCGTAGCAGAACACGGGATGGAGATGCCTTTGGCCCGTCACCTCAACGGGGCTCCCTGCAGCGTCGATGAGGAGAAGGATTCAGAGGCGGGTGCATCAAAGGAGGGGCAGGGGGTGGATTTGACTTCCGGCAGGAGAGCACTGCGTATGGTCAGGAGCAGGCCGTCACCACCGAGCGACGTAGAGGAGCTGAACAAGTTCATCCTGAGCGTGTTGCGTCTGTTCCTGGTTACCATCGGACTGCTGTTCGCCCTGCTGCTGCTCCTCATCATGCTGACAGAGTCAGACCTGGACATTGCCTTCCTGAGAGACATCCGCAAGACACCTGAATTCCAGCAGTTCCACTTTGAATACTTCTGCCCTCTGCGGCGCTGGTTCGCCTGTAAGTTACGATGGATGGGGGGTTTCCTCATCAGCAAGTGAGGCAAAGTGAAAGGTGACTGAATTACATAGGATAGGTCTCCACGGATGGAGACGGGGCACATACAACAGATGGGTCAGGAGAGGGGTTGGGGGGCGAGAAGAAAGGATAAAGGATTGCAGCCCTGTTTCCAATATCAACTCAGCTTCTCCCAGGAAGGAGTTCATGTCACAAGCCACGGACTGTCCCCTGAAGAGCCTTGTTTATTATGTTTGACCATCACTGCGAGGAAAGGAAATCACATTTTACTTTGGATATTCAGGTCATTTCAAGGCATTTTATTTTTACACAAAATCACAGTAACAGGGTTTAATTTAAACACTGAAAGGGACAAAGTCTGGCAGACTTCACTTATTCAACCACAGAAAACAGTTGCCTTTATTTTTGTATTAATTTATATGTTGCCACATTACTGTAAGACAGGACAACCTGATGTGTTTGGGTGTGTGTTGTGTGAGCTGAGAGTCTGGGGAGTGGAGGGGTCATCTAATTGTCATATTTCAAAGCCAACAACAACACTCTATATGATACAATTTTACTGTGGTCACTGCTTTGAGATTGAAGACTTGAAGAGTTGAAACTGGGGGTTAGAGAAAGTGTGAAAAAAGAAGAACGAGCAGCACTAAATATAGGCTATATCAGTTCTGAGTCAAATAATATTTGCAAATATTAAAGTTTTATGAATGTTTTAGTGACACAAATGTGAGTGTTATATCAGTCACAGGAAAGACAAGGAAAATTAATTTAGCACACTTTTAAGTGATTGACAACTTTACTGACTTTCCATAACTGTCCTAATGTGGTGTTAAATAATTAATTTGACCCAGGAGTGATGCTAGTGCTGCCCTGTAGAAGGCTTGAGTAATTTTTTTTGTAATAAGTGTGGTCAGATGTCCATTAACAGTGTGCTCACATTACGATTTCTGTCAAGCCACTAGAGCACCAATAACATTTTATTTTCCAATGATATAAATTAAGGATATAAGTAAGTAATGGAGTTGGTAGGTTTACTGATTTTACAACATAGCAGCCAAATAATGCTAATAGCTACAATCAACTTCTGTGTGTAAGGAACAGTTGTCACTTTGCTGTAGTTACTTTTACAGTAGTCGTAAAGGCGATGGGACTATGTGAGCTAGCCCTGTAGTGATAGTGAAGTGTTTGGTTAGCTCTTTGACTCCCTCACTCTGTAGGAGGAGTTTATCTTGATGTGCAATACTGTTAATATACAAAACCCAAGATCCTTTCCATTAAGGGAAATTTGACTTTGTTTTACCTTTGTAAAGTGAACAAATTAGTGCTATTTTCCCCGCATATATGGTTAAGAGAGCTCGTTTTTAGACCTGTGTTGAGTGAAGGTCATATAACTTTGTTTAGTCCTGCTGTGTTAAAATTTATGCATTCATCTGTAAAGGCTGAATATATTTAAATCACGTTTCCATTTTTGTACAAACTGATGTGTCTTTAACACATGGAGATTTCCTCACAGTGACTTTTAATGGACTTGAAGCATTATTTTTTACAGTGATATAGTTTTCAGCCTCCTGCTTACAAGACCACCTAAGATAAGTCATGTTTACGTCCTACTGCAATCTTCTTCGTCACACCTACCAAAGAAACCTCTGTTGTCTGATACTTCTGTCAGTTTGCATCAACAGACGGAAACTCTGATAGTCTGCTGACCTTCTCCAGCCTTATTACGTAGCTATACGTAATTTCACAGTTTAGCCTGCAGTGCGTCTTTACAGCCCAACATCATCATTTAAAACCTTAAAGTCAATTTGGGACACTTAACTATTGGTCCTCTTAACAACCCTACAAGTAGTATATTAGGAAGCTGTGTGTCAGTGGTAATTACAGACTGATCAGCAGCAAACTGATGTATTATTTATGCAACAAGAGAAGTGGTTTAGGAAGGTGATTGGCTATGTAGGATATGTAGGTGCCTATAGGCAGTTTGGAAAGGTACTGTATTAATATTCAAATCTTTCTTTAAAAAATCCACAAGTTGAAAGTTAACACACAAACAGTAAGAATCCCTTTAGTATTAAATACCTAGGCTTTAAATGTTCATTTTATTTTTGTACAGTATGGATATTTTTAAATTCAGAAAGCCTCATGCTAAGACTTGAAAGACTACCGATGTATTTGCTTTAACTCAGATGGTGCTCGTTGGTTTTTGATTGATGTTAGATGAAATGTGATTGTGTATGAGGGGAAAACGCAGGTTGAGACAGAAAGTTACTTCCAATAATTCGTATTTTAACGTCTCATTTTATGTTCATATGTATGAAAAACTAAACATAATTTGAGCAATAAATACAGATAATGTAATGAACATTAACCATAAACTGCACACTAATGTTAGTCTCCATCTTATAGACTCAAAAGTCAAAGCAAAAAGCCTTTGGAATCCCCTCATAAGGCCTGTCGATGCATGTGTGAAGGTGCCCACTGTTACAGATTACCCAGTGTCAAAGATACTTCTCCAAAATATCTATTGTCAAAAGAAAACATTTTCATATAAATCCTGTTGGATTGTTGCCTAATTCTACACCGCTCATCCTTGACTCAATTTATAGAAAGAGTAAGCTATCCTGTGAAAGTACATGTAAATGAACTGAATCTGATCTGATCCATTTTTGCTTGAACAGGTTTTACCACAATGAAAGTGGAAGGATTTTTATTTTTAGCCCATCTTAACAGCAGAAGTAGCATATTTAACTACCTGAATCTTTCTTTTGCAATGCAGCTCAATATATTTCCTTTTTTTTTGTATTGCTAAAATCTGTTTTAGATCACTGGCAGTGATAAAAGACAGGTGACAGCTCCATTGACACTTGTACTAATTTTACTGAATTGTTTAAACAGGAATAAGGCCTTAGATAGGGTCTTACTGTAAGCTTCCTTCCTATACCATGGAAATGTCTCTGTAAGCATGTGTACTGCATTTATTACCTCCAAACAAGACTGCTTATTTCCAATCACTGACTGAAGATTGGTGTAATCTATTTATGAATAAATATAATCTATTCTTGACATCTGGCAGCTAGTCTGGCTACAAGTTCAATCTTTAATTCACAGAAAGAACAGCCCAGATTGGCAGCTTCTTAAATTTTTCCAGCATGTCCCTAGTTGAAAACCATAGACCGTATCACAACGCTGCCATCTTAAGGTGGCACACTGCCACTGCTGAAATTAATAGCATTCACACTCAAAATGTTTGGTATAAAAAGTCTCTATTTATTCCATTTGCTTCCGGTGCCACAAATAAAAAAAACATGAAAAAAATCAAAGACAAACAGGCGCTTTTCACTGCCCAAACGGTTTGGCTGTTTCAAATTAACTGCGCCACAAACAAACAATTCAGAGGGAACCCACTTTGGAAATTGCTTGGGTTCATTAAGACATTTTGAGTATAACAAATTACAAATGAGATACCAGAGAAGTAAACAGCCGAGTCAACAACATAAACGTATCACCGGCCACATTCAATCATTTGCTACCTATAGTGCCTCTACAATATTTTCAAACGCTTGAATTTTCTCTTTTTATTTTAATCGCACCGGGTTTACTTACAATTATTCTAAGTCTCCACAAACTGATCTATAGTAAAAAAAACAAAGTAACTGATCAGCTGCATTTTAATAAAAAATGCTGCATTTGGTGAACACCAGGCACTGCACATGAGGAGAAGGTCTGGAGTCCACACCTCTATATAGTCCATTACTTGTGGCAGAACACTGCTGCTCTCTCTCAGTCCCCACACGACTTGACAGTTTGACGAGTTTAGCAAAATTTGAGGAAGAGTGCAGTGAACTTGTGCGAGGCTGATGCAGCCCTATTCACATACAATACACTTAATGCTGAAAAAAGGTGAATACAGTTCCCTGTAAGTTGTGTTTTACCGAGGGGAAAATAAGTACAAATGTACCTTTGTTCTTAATGTACATTTGTATACTCAGCGGCCACTTTATTAGGTACACCTGGTACACCACTTAATGTGCTTCAACAGAAGACCATACTGGGTTCCACTCCTGTCAGGAGATTGGATAAACATTGCATTGTGTCTTACCCATGAATAGAAAGGTATACCTAAAAGAGGCCATTGAGTGTAAATCAATTTGTTTAGAGATTTGTTTTCACTTTGACATAACAGAAAACCCTGCGATACATTATTGTAGGAAAACAGGAAAAAGCCGATGGTGTAAATACGGTTTTTATAGACACTAACACATTCTGAGGCTGATTTCATTTCATCTCCAATAAGAGTAAGATGCATCACATCTGGGCCAGGATATGTTTTGACACTACCTACCCAATGTAGCAATAAATGTGTATTTTGTTGTGAATATTGATGAAGAAAATTCTGATACTTTGTTATTGATACTGTGTTACCTCACACTGTATGAATGTTCATACTGTCCGTGTAAGTGTAACATTTCTGGACTTGACTAGTGACTTAATCAGTGTAAAGTTGATGTTTCATTACAGGTATGTTACTTGTATGAAAAATATGACAATATATAAAAGAGATCCAGAAGGGAGAACAAGCAGTTGCCAGCAGTGAGATATCCATCTATATTGTACGAGTTCTCCACCTGTACTGTGACAAAACAGTTTTCCTACTTGTTCTTCCTATCCAACTGAAAGCAACCAGGGGGGGTCTCGGTCTCACACATTTTTGTCTTTATCTCAGTTGGAGAAGACGTGCAGCCGCCCTGATGCATTGCCGCCCAGTAAGGCATTCCTTGTCGGGTGGAAAGCTGTGACGGACAGTACTGTGTTAAGGTTTTCGCCATCCATGAAGGAGTGCTGTGGCTGGCCATTTTCATGGAACACCTCCACTCTCCGAGGCCTCGACATGCTTCCCACCACAAAGCAATCTTCCTGTTTGGGATCCCACACTGCTGATAGTTTGGTCAGCCAGCGGCCCGTGTGCATGTCATGTCTGAAAATGAAGATTGATAAGACAGGTTGGGAGTATGGTTGTTGGTTAGGTTACACAAGTCAGAAAAAAGACAAGAGAAAAGAAAAGCACACAGTCAGTGAAACAAGTGGATGTACCTGATGGATGTCAGCAAGGGAGATTTAGTAGTCATTGCAGATGTGTCATATATCCTGTCAAAAGGAGATCAAGATAGACATTTAGCTTGAGGAAAAAAAGAAAGTATAATCGTGTTATTCAAAAAGCTGTGCTGGCTTCACCTTATGTGGTTATCCATACAGGAGGTGAGAACTCGGTTTCCTGTACAAGGGGAGAAATAAGCGCTGGATATGCTTAACGAGTGGCCATGTAGCTGGGAGACTGTCTGGGTTTTGGTCTTCTTCAGGCATCTACTGTCGTAAATACTCACTACCCTGCAGACAAGATCAAAACATTAACTTAGTGCAATCAAAAAGACAGAATGACACAAGATAGAGAAATCATCAAAAATCAGCAATCAGACAGACATACTTGCTTTCGGCCACAGCAAAGTACTGCTTCTGTAAAGGGTGGACACTAACGCAACGCAGAGTCTTGGGGTCCAAAGAGTGGAGGGACTCATGAGAGTTCCTTTAGAGAAATTAAAAACCAAAGTAACATGATTGTAAAATGTTCATCAATAATTGACAAGACAGTTCACACTGTTCACCCATACTGTTATTCTACTAACACCATGCAGAGAGACTAAAACTACTAATAATTATCATAATAAATAAAAAAATATATAAAATTAAAAATATATAATAATCAATAATACGTTACCCTGGGGTGCGCCGATCAACGATGGCAACTTCTCCGTACCAGTTCCCAACCACTAATGTCGAACAGTCATGTGACATGAAGTCAAACGTTTTCAGGCCATCGTCAATGTCATACACCTACATCAATGTACGGACAGACTGACGTCAACCGGTGAAACAGAAACTTTGAATTTAGAGTAAATGTGTTTTCATTCAGGAGGTTTAACTTACAACCTTTACAATGTGAATTTAAAAAAATAAATAAATAAAAGTACATTTGAGGCACCAAAAGTCTCTCACATCATCAAAGAGAGCCTTCTCTACATCCATGCAGCGTAGAGATCCGTCATAGCTGAGGCTCAGCAGGTGGGTGGGATGAGCCCTGGAGAATGCCATGCAGCCCACTGGACGAGTATGTGGCTCAAAGAGCAGCACACCATCATCATACCAATCACCACCCTGAAGGGATGTAATCATGCAGGAGGGAAAAAAAGTGTGGTCTCTTAATGTAAATTTCATGTTATGAAACACTTTTAAAAGGGGCTTTATGTGGCTTTATCATAAGAACAGAGCAAAGAAAACACACCAAGTTCCAGAGTCCAACTTTCCCCCATTTGTCTCCTGCAGCCATCAACATGCTGCTGGTGCAGGGGTGGAAGGCAGCCGAGAAGATGCGGTCCTTCACCACTTTGGCCACTCGGTCCTCAGTTATCCTCATGTTCTTCAGGGCTGAGCGGTACCTGAGTGAAAACAGCAGTGTGCCTATACATGCAATGACCAGCCGGCAACTAATCTCCTCAGAGGAAGAGAAGTCACTTAGACTTAGCAATAGACTGAAATGTCAGGATAAACACTTGAAATCTTACCCTTTCAGATCAAGCTCCATCTTTCTTTCTTCTCTTGAATCCTATGAAAATAAGCAATTTTAAGATTGGCTAACTGATTCTGAAGCAGCAAAAGTAAACTACAATTATCACCCTGCAAAGATTAATCCTACACTCCAGACCTCTCCAAATATTTAAGTTTCACTTAATCTATGGCACAACTGTCACCCGCTAAACAGCACTGCATTTAATTACAGTTTTGAGGGGAAATCAATTAAAGTAAAAAAAGAACCAACTATGATGTAATGAGGACATGAATCCTTGTAATAACCAAGGAAAGCGACTCCTACCTCAGAGCAGAGCTCAAGAAGTTGTGAAGGCAGCTTGCTTCCCTCTTCCATGTTGATTGGATCCATGGGCAGAGGGCCAGGAGGCTTCTTCAGTTGCGAAGACTTTAAAGCAAGTAAAATAACTAAAGTGAGTAAAACCAAGATATAAAGATAAATAAATGCCGGCGACATACAGCAGTGGAGTAGCATGAAGTGAAGCATTATAGTTTTATTAAGTTATTTCTATGTATCTACCTGTTCATAGATCAGTGTCCCTCTGGGTTCAGGGGGAAGAGTCAAGATCTCTGCTTCTTTCTTTTGGAGACGTAGGGATTTACGAGCAGGCAGCACTTCTTTTACAGCAGCCTGTGACCTGCCACCACAGAGACCGATCATTACAGTGACATAAAAAAATACACGGGTCTGTCTAACTCTTGAAATCATGTTCTAGATCTGAAACAAAAAAAACAAACATGTTTGATGTTAACAGACAACTTGTTTCTCTGACCAACAGTCAAAAAACCCAAAAGCAATCAACTTTCGGCATTATAAAATTGAGACGAAAGAACTCCACTTCTACAGCCCCACAAAGCTCAGTAACAGTTTGTCAGCTGACTGTACCTCATGAGACCCCTCTGCGATGGCTTTGGCCGTGTCAACTGTTTCAACTCCTCAGTGGCCTTTTGACAAGGAAAACAAAAATTAATATCCATCCCATATGTTCAGACACAGCAAGAGGAATGAATCACAAGATAGCTGTGTTGAACAGAGTGACCTGCATTTTAATTTCATGCATGCAATTAAAGAACCAAGTTCATTTGGACGGAGCCACTGAGGAGTAGTGAGAGAGTACTAACTCCAGTTGGATAATAAAAATGTAAAGCCTGCACTATCTGCTGCATTGCACTGTTGTTAAGTCCCCTTTAAACAGCATAACCAAGTAGCTTGTTTAACTATCACGTCATCTAAATAACTACAGATGATGATTTTGCCTGGTTTTGTTTTGTATGATAAATCAGTACATGACATTTACTTTCTCGTGCTATGTTTGTCCGGATTAATCCAGTTAAAGTAACTGACTTCAGAGAGTGCTTCAAGCCTTTATCGAAAACTGTTTCTGAATCATTTAAGTCTTTAAGTCTTTAAGTATTGTTAGGCCCTAAAGCCACGTGTTAATGGATTTCTGAGAGAAAGATCAGTCCATGTGGCTGTACCCCACCAGCCTACCTACCTGGTATAAGTTGATGGAGGACAGGAACGCTTGGTTCTGTCTGATGTTCTCCAGGCGCTCCAGTTCATATGCCGAAAGTCCTCCCTGTCCACTCTGTTTAACACAAAGATACAGCACTTTACTTTATTCGCCCTGTAGGAGCAGCGAATACTAGTGTCTATCTGACACAGGTTTTGGTACATGTTGCTACAAAACCCATAGACACATGGTGAATAAAAACACAGTATCTATTATAAATAGTTCAGGGTTTCACACTTACAGACGTGTGCTCCACATCACTATTTTCAACATCCGAGTCCTCCTCTTTGATGTCCTTTCTGTTATTCTGGCTGTTTTTGTGCGTTTTTGTTTTCTATGAACAAAATATAGGCATATTAACAAAGACAAAGCAAAAATGCTTCAATGCAATACTATTGTTTCTATGTGTTTCTGGAGTGCATCTTACCCTTTTTTTATTTGGTGTTTCAACTATGTTTCTTTCAGGAGAGTACTTGAGGCGTTTAGGTACCAGGACGGTCCGTGATGATCGTCGAACTGCTCCCTCCACATCCACAGGGGTCATTTCCTGCAAGGTGTGCATTATAGAGCCTTTCTCACGATTCACAGCAGCTGTTTTTACACGGTATAGTATGCTAATAATAATTAATAATTTACCGGAAAGGGTCTGCTACACTAAATGAAACTGAACCTTAATTATCATTGACAACACCTGTGTTTACCCCTTCTAGTTCGTGTCAAAATGGCTGCTGTGAAGAGGGTCTATTAACAACCAGCAATTAACTAAATAAATAAATAAATAATGAGTCAACTTTTCCATAGACGCACACGTTTTTAAACGAGACTTTCAACACACTGGACTTAGGCCTTCAGTAGTGTTAATCTTAATTAAATTTAAATCAGTTTAGTTAAGTTAGGTCCCAAATTATGCTTATGTTATTCAGCAGCTAGTTAACCTTAACACAGACAAGACAGGTTTAGACTTGGATAATAAAACCAGATAGAAAACTTCAACAACTCACCAGTTGCTGCAGCTTCACAACGGCTTCGCGTTTTGTTCGTCTTGTCGACATATTAATGAACTTATAACGACACGTAGGAACTATTTCCTCAACAGAACTGTAAGAAGGTGATAAACTCAAACCTTCCGGCTGGTCTCTTGTATAATAGCAGAAACACTAGGAGACGTTCATTCGCGCCACATGCTAGAAATGTTTTGTAACTAGCCCCTCCCCCTCAGTGTTGTGAAACAGAATGCTAGCAGCTCATTGGTTAGTCCCTAAACGTCATCATAATAACAGCCAATGAACGCCTTTCATTCTCATCGCTCTTATCGCTTGCTTCCGGTTTAGCTTCCACAAAGGCTGTGATAATGTCGCCACCTTCTGGCAGATGTGGGCAAAATCAGTTAAATAACGTTGCTATTATTGATCATTCTCGGTTATTTAAGCATAAAAACAAGCCACTGGCAACTTGTATTCATGCTGAGATTAAATAGAAAAGAGTCTCCTAAGTAGACAAACACACCGGTGCACACAGTGAAAGATGTCAGCAATATAAAGAAAGGTCCAAACATATAAGGGGATCATTGTGCAATAACATGATCTCATTGGTTTACATGTTGATTGCTCAGTGTAGCATCAGGTGTGTCAGCTGATTATATGAACAGTGTTGGAAAGGTGCCTGCCTTTCCCAATGCTGTCCCAAGCTTCTGTACAGGCATACATGGTTAAATACAAATTCTTTGGTAGCCATTAATAACAATATGTTTTGTTTCAGATCTCCACAACATCCAAATTACGAAACTGAAGAAACAAAAATCATAAATTAAATCTTCCATCCTTATAACCTATAGTTGCCTCAACAGACAAACAAATGCACAAAAAACTTGAAAGTTAAGATTTAATGTTTATAACAAATTGGAACACACTGTATACAAAATACATATGGTAAACCCATTGAGGACAATTGTTACCATTATCTTTTCATTCTTTTAAACATGGGGGAAAAATACTTATACAGATGCACCTGATATGTAATCTGATTGAGTCTGATTTCCTTCAGTGATCCAGTTTACTGAACAACAAATTGAACATTATGAGACAGACTGAAGGGAAAATCTGAGTTGTCAACACAAACCGATTGATAGTACTGTAATAGCTGGCCTGTTTAGCCCACATTCTCCGGCACGTGCACTTCAACATGTTTAGCAGGAGACTCACTAAACTTCAAGCTCAGTGTTCTCTTTAGATGTAATTGTGTATGCATGTGATCCAGTGGGCATGAACCACAGCTAAATGTACAAGAATGTGGTTATTGGGTAACTCTGAACATGTGTGGTTGTGATCATGTGAAACATATTTTCCTTCCTAGGATGATATTGTACATATTGTTGAGAAATCAAACTTCTACATAAAACGCTTCAGGAAACATGAAAGCACAAACTTTCAACTTCCAAACTCCATTGATGCTGTCTCTGGATGATATTTTCCTGAATTTCTTCAGTCAAACTAAAGGTAGAGGGTATGAAGAGCATGCAGACAGTCCGCACATGTTTTTTCCCCGCTCAATCAAAAAATATCTGGTGGAATAAAAAAAGAAAGGCGTCGATGAGACCTGGAAACTATAACAATTCATCTCAGTGAAATACACACACAGACACAGACTATATTTACCCGTCAATACCCCAGGCTGTGCCCCAAGAGTTCTTCACAATCCAATATGGTGTGTCGTTTTCTTCAGCGCCGTAACCCACAGCCAGGACTGCGTGATTCACCTTGTCTGCCGTGTTCTTACACTGGGTGCTAAACAGACAACACTGACGCTTTTAGATCAAGAGAGTACACGTCTTTTGTAGCGTGAGTGGGCTGCTATCCTTCAATATCACGTTACATCCTGCCTATGCAAAGACATGCTGTGTAGCTGTTTCTATGGATATTTTTAAGACAGTTCAAAACAGAGACAGTAAACAGACAAACACAGTCTGAACAAAATAAACAACATTTAACATATAAACATTTTTAAAACTGGCTACAATGTTGTAGTCTTCTCAGTAAAGTGAGCCACAAGCACTCATAACTATAAGCACCATAACAAATGAGCCATCAAGCCGTCACAGTGGTCAACCCATAAATAGCTCCTTATTAGAGATGGACATACAGCAGGCAGTACGCAGTGTGATGAAAGGCTGGTCTTCTTTTCTGGTCTAACACCAATGTTGCATCAGACAGGTACACAAAGTGATACCACAGCACTAAATCCCACAATCTTGTGTGATTAAAAAAGCAACAAGATGTACAAATGCTAAAACCGTCCCCATTCTTGTCATCACTTTGATTAAAGTAAATTAAATCTAAGAGCAGGTTGTCTTTTTTGACAGAGGGCCATCAATTAAGTCCTGAGCACTTAAGATTTTGGTCAGTGCAGATTTCACAGAGTAGCCTTGTTAGCTCCATAATCCTCTTCCAAGACTAAATAACGTAACGTGCTGGTGGATTACTAGACAAAAATTCCACAGGTCCTCTAAATATTTCTAACCCCCATGTTGTTCATGAACAATTAAGTGTTTGTTGAGAAACCAAGGTCCTCAGCTCACCTGGTGTAAACACCTTCTTTATAGTGTACAAAATCAGCCGTGACCTCAAAGGCAAAGGACACGGGGTTAAGCCGGGCCACGGCATCAACCATGGCCTTTTCATCATACTGTGGATGAACAGACATACAGAAATTAAACAGCATAATGTGGTTAGGAGGTAACATATTAGCAAGCCAGTACATCATATTGTAACTGTAAATATTCACAACATCACACGACTATAACATTATAAGAATTGTAAACAGAAATATCAGCTTCTGGTCTCGTCCTTTATTCAGGTAACGCTACAAGGACATGGTTAACTTTACGTGATTAGTGACCCAGCAGTAATTTCTTTAAGGACACACAATGTTAACTTCACAACAACTGGTTCACTCACACTTGTTATGTTCACAGCATCCAGGACAAAAGCAGCTGCAAGTGCAGGCTCAAAATGGCAAGAGTCATCCTAAAACAGGAAGGACAAAATTCATACACTTGTAGAGAACTTCTTTTACATCAAAATAATTACAGTGAGATTACAGTTATTTCAGAAAAGTCATACATGGCCTTTGTAGGGATAGTCCTCCTCTGTCATAAGACCTTTGTTGTATTTGATGTACTCAAATGCCTGACTGGGGAGCCCACTGAAACAAACCATGTAGTGTTTAACTGGTTGAAGCCTTATTATACTCAACAAGTATTATCATTATTAATATAACTTATAATGTCTCAGAGCAACAAATTCCTGTTACTTACCCCAAGCATCCATGATTGTTGAAGTCTTTGGCACAGTCTATCAGCTGCTGCTCAGACTGATACAGAAAACAAACTGAATCACACATTAATACACAGTAATGACACTGCACTGCTGTTAATAATCATGCAAAGAACCAGACAGTAAAACAGACATTTATTCTCCTATCCTTGTAAGAAAGTGGATCCCTTCAACTTTCTCAGCCCAGATCTATTAGATGAACCAGCTGAGTGTTACTTAATAACAGTCAGATAGATCTCACCAGAGGTATGAGCTTCCCGGTAGCGATAGCATTCACTGACTCCAAACAGCCAGTGGTAGAGAAGGTCCAGCAGCTGCCACAGTGACCCTGAGGACGCAAACACAATGAAACTCAAACAGCGGATAATTCAATTATGTTAAAGGGGCACTTCACTGATGTTGCACAAAAAGGTCAATTACTTGTGAAAACAGTTGTATAACGTATTCTTTGTCTCTTTCACAGGACTTTGTAATACCACAGAAAATGACCCTGGTGATGCCATTAGGTTCAAGGCTACAATTTACAAAACCAAAAATGTTACAATTGAAGTGCATGCAGATATAAAAACATTTATAGTGCTATTCGTTGCATGATGGGAAATGTAGGATATTTATTTTGTTCTGTCTCCCGAACTGTATAATACTGGTACTAAATTGCGCAGTAAAGGAGTATTCCTTTAAAATGACAGAATGTACTGTAACAAGAAGTGACAACACCGGCTGTTGTTTTTCAGACCCTACCAGTCGAGACAGATGGCTGCTCAACCAGAGCTGCAGTCTGCTTGAGGTTTCTGCCTCTTAAAAATACATTTTTTTCTTGCCACAAAAAAATTGAAACAGGAAACACGAATGTTCCTTTCCTGCATAACACAGCAATTACTGTAATTGTGGCTTACCTACATGTCACACAAATAATAATATTAAGTAATTCATTTACATTAGGGAATCCTCGTGAATAAATCCTGCAATACTCAGTACCCTATAGAGTTATATTGATAACTCTATATGACCTACATAAGCACACCAGACCATCACTGGAAAGATTGGATATTTCTATATAGTTATTTTTAATGCCTGCCATTGGTTCGGATCAGGGTCAGGTCAGAGACGGTGGGAATTCTTGTCATTCTGATTCTCCCTTTATATTGCGGTGGTACTTTTTGGGCTGTTCAGCACGGCATTAGGATACCTGGTTCTTCACAGGAGTCACAAAGTTGCCTTTCATCCTCCAGTCTACAAACTCGGGGTAAGGACCAGTCCTGCTGACATGACCCCCTTTAGTGGCTGAGCAGTTCTACAAGAGACCAGAAACATAAGATTTGTATTGGAAGTAAAATAAAAAACACCCACATAAAAGCACCAGCTGCATAAAATGTGTTGTACTATAAGATGTATCATACCTGCGGCTCCGTCAAAAGAAATAATTTCCTGAATTCCTCAAATGTCATGTCTGAGAACTGATTTAGGCCCACTAGATTTGAAAATGAAAATGCTTGTGAGAACTTGCCTTTCATAACCTTATAAAGCAAATAGTTGTACAATTTTCAAAATGAGCTGACAGTGCACCCTCTGCAGTGATAATCTATATATTACACAATATGAGACAGTGCAGAACTGTACTGTACTTGTGAAAGTGTGGTTCCCAGCATTATGTCGATCAATTGTCTTCTTATTCTCAGTGAACACGTGGAAACGTCGGTAATACTCCTCAGTGTCATAAACCTTGTTGTGCTGCATTTCAAAAAGAGAAATGAAACAGCAAATACAAAGGGAAGCATTTAGTTTTAAAAAGCTTGTTATTGAAACATTAAAAATAAAAAAATAAGACTGCGAGGTATACATTTTCACTAACTTTGACATTGTGCACATACCTCTGACATCCACTGTTTGAATCGATATTCCTCTGATAGGACAAAATGAAGCCTGCAGTTAATAAAGCACCCTTACAATTGACATTTCTGATTCTCATATTTAGTCCCAGAGCCTTTATGATCCCTCATGCCACCAAGTACATTTACTCTAGTAGCCACTGCATTTATCTGACAGCTGTAGTTACTAATAACTTCATAGATTTTACATACACCATATTTGATGAGTTTATAAAATACAGTGCAGTTATAGACAGTACCAAGAGCAACAGTAAAATGGTAATTACACATTTTTGCATCAGTAATTATAACCCTTCAATATGATACATAACAGTATAATAATAACAGGGGCCAATTTCTGTATTATGAGTACTTTTACTTTTTTACTTTTACTTGAACACGTGACTTTTTTTCCCTACAGGATAGTTTACTTGTAAAGCAGTGTGTTTTTGTATATTATATAGTTTTGTATTGTAGTATTGCCACTCTTATTTCAGTAAAGGAGTTGAATACGTCCTCCACCACTGTTTGTGGTGTTATTGCATTGATTCATTCTCTGGTTGCGGTGTTAACACCTGTTGTTGAACCGTTTGTCTCAGCGACATGTTCCTGTAAGGAAACAGCGACCTACTGTACATGCTGCAGTTAGAGATGAACTGAAGAGAATAAAATAGAATGAAACTGCACGAGTGTTTACTTACCTTCGAGTACAACTGATAAGTGAACGCAAGTGAAAACAGTGGTGAACAACCAAACCACAGTGAGCGCCATACTTTCCCCGCAGACTCCAACAAGCTGTGAGAGGTCACATGACTCGGCTCTCATATGAACACTCGACACCCACCCTCCCCTACTATTGTCCCCCCCCTCTGTCTTCCCCAGCACAGCTACAGCCACAGAGCTCATGGGCTAATACAGCTTGGTCAGTGGAAAAGTGTAGAACAAAAGGTGGCAGCCTAAGAGACAATTCTCCCCCTGAGAAAGAATAGATTTATTAACAAGAGGTAATCAGGAAAGAATACACTTTTATACAAAACTGGAAATACTACTCAAGCTGTTGAAATAGACTGAAAGATAATTCTCATACCACTGGGTATTGCTCACTGCAAACATCTGATGTGCCTGTTAGAGGGTAAAGATTCATGTGCAAGGGTGGGGTTCAAATACAGTACACATACTGTTCTAGATATAGATTCGATTTGAACACGTGAAAGTGGTACATGCCTGCCACTTAAGCTTTAGGTGTTTTTCTATACAAAGCCTGTAAAAAATACCTATAAATATTCCAAGAATAAGCACAAAATTACTACTGTATAGTTCCTGCTAACACATTGGAATAGACAGGATACAGAATGTGTTACACTTATAAGTTGTTTTCAACATTTGTTTTAAAGTATCATACACAGAAAAGTTATTACAGAGTTGAACGATCATAAGGATAACACATTTCGAGGGATATGTTTTTAACACATTGCACATTAGGAAATGCATCAGACTGCCTGTACACGGTAATGTACACAGCAAATATTTCTGCTTCATTGGCAAATCGTAGAACAAAATAGTTTACATACTTTTGTGTATATAATCCATTTCATGATTAAGGCAAAACCATAATGCACTGGCCAAAGAGGATTAACCATAAAAACTATGCTCTTAGTGTCTGAGTGTAGAAGCTGGGAATTTAACTTCCATAAGTGGCTCAATATTGGTTACATCTGCTACATACACTGCCCGGTGCTTATACTGTATATACATCATGTTGCCCACCAGGGGAGTAAAGTGATAATAAGCAAAGCATAAAAACCCATCTCTCCAAACTGAAAACATGTTGTCCCAGCTCAATCAGAAATTAGCAGGTAATCTTGTATCAGTTAGACTCCAAATTCTTCCAAATCTTTAATCTTTGTCATTCAGTGGCTACATAAAACATCAGAGCACATGATTCAACTTCAGCCATCACGGCAGACCCACTTTTCATGGCCGTCATTTCTAAAAGTTTTAAAACGTTTCAAAATCTTAAAGTTTGAATCCTCAAGATCTTCATGAAATCAAACAAACGTTTTGATGCTAGTTATGGTCAGCATTTTTCTGCAATAGCCATTCAATGCATTGACATTCAGTAATTAGTAGGTTTCAGTGTTAGTGCCGGAGTCTGCCATTCCCACGCTGTATTCAAATCAAGCAGGACTCTTAAGGATTACAACTTTAAATGAATGATCATGCAGCTAGTGGATTAGCAGATATTTGTATTAACTTTAAAGATCTACACTTGAGGACAAACAGGTTGAAGAAATGGCTGCTGTACTAGTCACACAGAGTGTTTGTATGGAGACTAGTTTAAAGGCAACTGCATGCGCAGTTCTCTCTCTTTTTGACATCTGAGCAGAAAAGTGGGAGTTGATCATCATGTGTTAAACGTGACCACCATCTCTCATGAATGAGAGCCTTTTTATACTGCACATTCCCATTAGGATATGACTAAATATCATGTCTGTATACTCTTTCATCTGTTTATTCTGTGGTTGAAAATAACTTTATCATAAAATGGTATTTAAGACGATAAATAACATATAAATACTCTGTAACTATATAAATTAAACCTCTCTGGGCTTCTACTCAGTCTCTAATAACGATTATACACAAAGAGTCCATTGGGGAACACATACTAGAAGGGCACAGCCTACTGTGTCTAATACAAATAATAGTATATGTACATTATGATATATTGTTCCTGTACACTCCGTGAGGGTTATGAGAGAGAGGGAGAGAGAGAGATCCTCTTCATGATGAAGTTTTGGGCTCGATTCTCAGAGACGCTTCATACAGGCTCTCCTCATCCAGCGCTGAACTGCTGTCCAGCAAGTACTTTGCAACCTAAAGCAATAATGAACAGTTTTTTTGTTTAGTTTTTTCAGACTCAACATTTAGAATAGACGTTGAATGACAGTAGAAAAATATAAAACATTTCTTCCATGATCATTTCTGTCAGTTCTATCAGCCGCTTTGGCTGAAAACCTTTATTCACTATTTTATTATTTTATTATATAATTGAATATTTAAGTTTGAATATAATAAGTTAATTTATTATTTATTTATTTCAAATGTGACAACCCAAAAAAGTCCTACTGACCAAACTTACGATTATACTGTTTATCATGGGTAATCACTGACTAATAATCATAGATACACATTATTCTCTAGTACAATTTAATCTTACTTGCTACTTGCAGCCATTTATATTAGTCATATATTCAGAAATATAGAAATATATAAAATGAATTTTGATTTTATAATTTAAATCTAAAAAAAATCATTGGCCAATATTATGCTCTGTTAAGGGAAAATCTTTTACTAAACAATACAAATTTATATAATTTGAAAAAAAACAGTATTGCAGTACTAATCAAGCAATACCTCTAAATAAGTAACCAACGCCTGCAGCTCCTTAAAAAAATATACAATATTAGAATAAAATATACAGTACAGATAAAAAACAATCTCACCTTTGGTTGATAATCAATCTTGTAAGCTGTTTGCTGAAACTGCCGTATCTCTCTGATAATGTGAGATATCTAAAGACAAATGTAGTGAAAATTATAAAATGTCAACTTTGCAGGGATGTACTGTCCACAATACTTAATGCACACATTGCTGAAAATGACAAACTAGATTAAAACCAGAAATAATATTAAGTGCATGTTATTGTATGTACTTCAGCACACAGGTGTTTTTTACCATTCTCATCTTGGAGAAGTTGACCAGGTTGTCCTCAGTGTAGTTGGGTGTTCCCTCCTCGATGAAGGCAAGGTCAGTCAGGTACATGCCCAGGTAGGGAACACAGGGAGGGTCACAGCTGAGGATAAAGGCAGGTCAGATATAGATATATAGTACACAAAGATGAAGGGGAATATATAAAACTCCTCCAGCACAATGTGTGAGGACAGGAGACTGAAGAAGCATTAGGTACTTACTTCTTCAGAGCTTCTCTCAGGTTTTTGAATCGTCCCTCTGATGAAACCAGCTTCTGTAACTTGTCAATCACAGTCTTTGCAAAATCAGCTTTATCTGCCTCTCTTAGAGCACGTAGTCTTCCTTCCTTCTGTGTAACTACAAAATATTCTGTTTCATTTTGTCAGCTAAATATGAAGCTAGGCCAGGACACAATTAGTTTAGCTAGCATAAAGACTGGAAACAGGGGGAAAGAGCCTGAATTCGCCATTACCTCTAATGCACACTGATTAACAAGTTATATCTTATTGTTCAACATGTACTCAATCATAGTATTAAAAATGATAACTTGTGGTTCACAGGAGTTACATTCTGGTAACTATTTCTGGCCGGGAGCAGTGACTTTCTAGAGTCTCCGCTGGTTTCTTGGCAACCTCC